AAATGAAGAAGAGAAGGGGAGAATAAGGAAACATAGTCACTTGAAAAACTGCTGCAGGTAGCTGAGATCAAAGCCAAGTGCTCGAAGAAGCAAGGAGAGGTGCATGGCTAAGAGATGGCTTGGGCAAGACCTGAAACTCTGCTAACTGGATGGGCAGCTCCGGAGGCCAAATGCGTCTATGATGTGGGAGCAAAGTATAGTTTCCCTCATATGAAGGTAGAAATCTATAAACAGGTATTTATGACGCAAACCCGCAGATAAGCACGTAGTGATTTGTGAAACTACAAGTCAGGAACTGTGGAGCCTTCAAGCAGCTCTCCAGAAGGACTATCATAGCATGACTGCTGGGACAAACATTGCAACACCCAAGGTGGATTCAACTGGATAAATGCAGGTGTCTGTGTGAAATCTTGGGCTTACAAGGACTGAGGTAGCTGAACTGCGCTCCTTTTGTTTCTACTGGCGTGTTTTCAGTGTTGTAGACATCTGAATATAGGTGAGACTAACCCCTAGCCCACGTGTCTCCAAGGTCCTTACTGTAGGCCAAGGGTCTCAGTCCTTTCTCAAGTCCACCAACACAAAAAGCTGCAGTCTTTGAGTTAAACAGGGAGATTTCACTTTTACTTTATTCAGTGTAATTTTTCCCACAGTTTCTTCTAAACTTAGATGAACCAATATCAAAAATGTGTCTGCAGAAATCGGACTGCTCTTAAAGCCCTTTGTGCAGATACACAGCACAACTCTCACTGCCTAATGCTAGCAAAATTTAGACTGGAGAAATTCCAGATAAATCAGTCAGGAAAAAGAAAAAAAGAGATTTTTTTTCCTGATTTTGCATAATTTAATTAACCTCTAATTAATACCACCTGCCTGGAAATATGACTTAACACATAGTGAGCAGTTATGCAACAAAGCTGCACAGGTGCTCCTTGCTGCTGGTTCTGATCTTATCTATCAAGTTGTCACCCTCCTATTAAATTACTTTCCTCCCACCCTTTTCATAGCAAAGCTGTAAGTTACTGTGGCCTGTGTATTTTCTGGTGCCTCTCACTCTGAACCAAGTGAAAAGACCAGTATCCTTTGGTCTGACTTTGAGAGCCTGAGTGTAACAAAGGAGTTTGGCCTGGATTTCATCAGGAGCACATGGAGACAGCACTGGCTTTGGATGGGTCACTGCACTGTTGTGTGTGGATATAGACATCTCTGGAAAGACGCCAAATGGCAGAAATATTTATGCAGATTTTCTCAAGTAAAGGTCACCCCTCAAACGCATTTTGTCTCAACAGGCAACCTGGCTCTGGTTCCAGTAGACAGGGCCAGGGCTCTGCACCATGTCAGCTTGCACCATGGCACGGGTTTGGCTTGAGCAAGCTGGCACGCTCCTGGGTGCTGACGGCATGGGCCAGGGACACTTCCCACTGGGCAGCATGGATATGACCAGCCTGTTTTGAGGAAAGACGGCATAGCCATGTGGACTGATCCAACCAGAGCCAGAGGACAGGTTTCTCCTCCCGGAGACCTTACACTAGGTGACATTCAGAGCCTAAGGGGCCCGAGGAATATTGAGTTGAATCTCAGAGCATCAGAAACCTACCCACCATGTGGCTTTTTGCCAGCATTTTAGGCACTGATTTGAAGGACAACACCATGACATGATGCTTGCAGGGACAATTGTGTGAAACACCAAGATTCATCCAAGTATCACTTGGCCAGACCTCTGAAGCATCCTGCAAGGGCAGCTGAACAGGAAGAAGAGCTAGTGTAAGGAAGAGATAGGCTTGTTGATGTGGCTGCCTGCTTCATGGAGAAGCCCATTCTCAGTGTCACCACAAGGTGGAACTTGGTACATATCACATGGACTGAAGATGCATCCACGATAACCAACCAGAAGCATCTTTAGCTTCAGAAGCCTCAGCATTATGATCCTAGCACCCATTCCCTGCTCCTGGGTCACACAGACATAGAGAAAAAGGGCTAAGCTGGTGCAGAAGAGCCAGTGGCATCTCTTGGTGGTGAATCAGTTTCCAGAAACTGATCTGGAAAAGCACAGGGGAAACCAACCAATTTCTCTTTACTTGAGAAGTTCTGTGCAGCCACTGCCCAACACTACAGCTGATTGTTCTCGTTTCCAAGCAGCCAACACACCAAAGGTACCACCCATCCTTGGTGTGCAACAATGCACACCAAAGCACCATCACTGGGGCTTTACGTTACTATAGACCAGATGGACCATGACTTTTCCAAACTGTCATTAGTTCTGGCTGCAGTTGGATCGAGTAGTCTCCATACACAGAGGAGGATACACAGGGCCAGATGCTGCCGTTGAAGTGCTGAACCCTGCTGCTCTTTTGTGAATAATCCTATGGCATTTCACTGCAGAGGAGCATCAGAGGGGAGGTGAAACTACAGTGTCCTTCAGAAAAGTGTCATGTAAAATAAACATCATTCCTTTTGGTGACAAAAACGGAGCAAGGCACAACCTTTGACCTCTCAGATTGGAAAAAAATCTCCCCACAAATGAGATGGGTATGAGTTACATCAACCGCCGGAGGCATTATTTATCACTGCACAGGAATTTGCATCATATGCCTGATGCAATGAGGTCACCAGCAGCATGAGTATTTTCATTCCAGCCCCAAACTATCACAAACTTGGGCAAGTCATCAGCTGCCATCTGGCTTCTGCCATGTCATTTGTGGCGCAAAGAGGCTCCAGTCAGCAGCAGGGCTGCGTCGCGTTTGGGGCTGCCAAAAAGCCGTGGGGAGATCGGTTCCAGCCCTACAGAGCTCAGAGCCAATCTGCTGCTTCCTCTGTCAAGTGGTAATAGAGCTTCCTGACCTCCTTTGCATAGGGATGTGATGGAGATTAATTTGTGGCTTCTCTGGAAAACTGATGAGCAGCCTGAGTGTTATTAGTTTTCTCACACTGCCTATTTCCTACCAAACTCGCCAGTCTTTCTTTCTCTCTCAAGTGTCTGTTTCCTTCATTTTAAAGCGCTTTGCAATTTGTTCACCAAGCTCTGACATCGATCTGTGTTTGCTCCGTGAGTAATCCCACTGGAATCGATAGGATGATTAGCAAAGCCCAGATCTCGGTGCATAGATGTGAATAACTCTGCGCACGTGACTGCTACCATTGATCTCAGCGAGGCTGGTCATGTGCATGAAATTGCAGGCTTGTGTCCTTGCAGGTGTCAGCCCTAGTGAGGTGTTATCCGAGTAAGGCCGGGAGAATTTATCCCGAAGCCATTTGCAGGAATCACTTCCTTCGGCACAGCCATGTGACACCATGTCATGTACCATTTAACAGGCACAGAAAATGGCCTGTGCCATGCAATGCCACACATACCCATCCAGCTTCATTTGTGAGATATTCCAGTTTCTTTAAACAACATCAAGACCGTAATAAATCCTGACCCATTGTTTCCCAGAGCAGGGCGTTTCTAGCCCAGTGCTTCCATCTCTGCTTTAAAAACAAACTCATGGTTCCTGCCTTCTCCCTCCAAAGTCTCTATATCAGCAGCACTTCCTATTTGGGAGTCAGCAAGGGCCTATGCTGTGTTTTGTGTGTGCACAAACTTCAGGGATGACGAGAGCAAAATGTTCTCCGGGAGCCGGCGCGGCTCTGAGCGCTGGTGCTGCTGGCGCCGTTCATCGGAGCTAGTAGGAGAATGAAGCGGAGGGGCTCAGCGTGCTCCCGGCTGGATCCCTGTGGGACATTAGCTGCTGCCGGGCTGGAGAGATGGATGCACAGAAGCAAACTCCGCTGCCAAAGCACAGGAGATGACTCTCTTCTCCGCTCCTTAAATAGATCAGTTCTCTCCAGCACAATGTGAAATAGGGGACGTGTTTGGAGCCTGCTAGCTAATAAATATCATCTTGCCATTGCGTCAAGCTGCTCACCTCCTTGCCAGGGCACGAGCTGCAGCTCTCTGCAGAAACTGCAGCTCCAATACCCACCTCGGTGCGTGGAGAGGGCTCAGGGGGGACGGGAGGGCTCCTCGAGGGCCTGCCCGCTGCCTGCCTAGCACGCTTAGCAAGGTGCCAGAATGCAGCCTTATTCCCCTGCGTTCACTGTGGTTTACCGTTTTTCTGTGTAAATAAGGCACGACTGCCATGTACTGCTGTGTTGAGACCATGCTGGGGCCCTGCCTCATCCTCAACAAGTTTTCTATACGAGGCATATATCAGGGATCATTTTTTCGACCCTGTCCTTGTGCTGGTCAGGTAACCACTGCCAAGTGTTGGTCTGTGAGCATTGGAAAGGCTTCCTGCAGAGTGGGTAGAGAGGAGGGTAGGGTGGCTTGGGCTGGAGACCTCCAATGGTCCCCTGCTACCCGAATTATCTCGTGCCTTGTGTGCATTGCTGCCGTGTCACAGCCAACGACGGAGACTTCGCCCCATGTCGGGCTGCAGCCTCAGAGCTGTGCTCGAAACGCAGGGCGAGTGACTCACCGCGTCACGCTGGAAATCGGTGGCAGAGAACAGGCTCACAAGCGCCTTGGGAAAACGCTCCTCTCTAGCTGGACAAAAGGAAATTAAAACACCATAACGCCTTTTACGGAGAGATTTTGGGCTAAGAGAGCCCTGGCTAGAAGGTGCTTTCAGTGGCACAGCAGAGCAGCCAAGGTCTCTCGTACAGGGACCCTGTGCAAAGCTGACAGCTCACAAGCCCTAGGCACTGTGTAGGATCCATAGGTGACACGTGGGGACCCCTGGAAACGATGCATAGAAGCTGCACGGCTGTCGGGAAGCTTCCTCCTTCCACCTGGGTGGCTGCCAGCGGGCGCCGGGTGTAATTTTGCAGCCGGAGCATGTGGCCGGTGAGCAAGTGGGAGGCGAGACTTCCCACGGTCCCACCCCGCCGGCGCCGGCCCTCCCTCCGCGATCCTGCTCCCAAGCCGGGATTGACAACAGGCTCCTAGATGCCCGCGAAGCCCTCGGGGGCTCCAGGGGCCCCCCATCCCTCCCGGCACCGGCCGCCCTTTCCCGCGCCGCACCATGCAGTGCTTCCGGAGGCAGCCGAAGCTCAGCGTCTCCCAGGAAAACCTGCAGCAGGAGCAGAGCCGCAGGGTGGCCGCGCTCAACGGCACCAGGCTGGGTAAGGGGCAAGGCGGCCACGGCCTCGGCGCTGCCACGCGCCGGCTCCGCGTCCGCTGCTCTTCTCTGCACAGAGGCTCCGCTCCACCCTGGAGGCGGCTCCAAGGCTGTTCTTAAGCTCCCGAGGTTTCTTTTCCTTTCCTTTGCTCCCTTCCAGATGGGCAAACCACCTCCTCGGCACTTGAAGCGTTGAAGGAAGTGGGACCTGAGTGGCAAAGGGTTGTTTTCCAAATCTCCCGCTGCGCTTTCGGAGCTGCTGCTGGAGAGGGTGTTGGATATGGCAGCATCCTGCCTGATTTTCCTGGACTCCTCGGTGGTGCATTGTCATTCACTGTAAGAGCCCAGGGAAGTGCTCAGAAAACAAACAGGAAACCCGGGGAGTTTCATAACGTCTGCATTGGAGCGGCGGCCCGAGAGGGCAGGAATTGCCTCCCCTTGCCCTCGGCAGCGCCCTGCGTTGCATCCACTGACTTTGAAACCGGCAAGCCTGAGTTATGCCTGGTCTTAAGCACTCGCTGGAAGAGGGGGGAGCAGGCAGGAAGAGGCTTGTTTTATAGCAGCTGCAAATCCATGCGCTTATTTCAGACCTGCAATCCTGAGCGAGCAATGCTGACGTTCAGGGAATCGCTGCCTCCTGTAAACCTGGTCCTGGTATCTCCCTGGTGCTACCTGATTCTGTGGCAGCTGGTGTTTTATCCTATTTAATTCTTGCTCTAAATCTGGGATAGATAACTCACAGGCTAAAGATTTTGGTGTCTTTGTGTCTAAAGCTTCTTTGTGCGGGATAGAACTTTGCACTCTCTGCAGCGCCGCTTGCTTAAGGCTCTCATGCCTTAGTCAAAGGCAGTCTTCCCTCTGAACTTTATGGTGCAGTAAATATATTCTGGTTACAAAGCGCGTGACACAGGGAGCAGAGAGTGGTGCTTGAAATGCACGTTGCAATTTTGGGTGCAAACGCGTGTTTTGCATTTTGCACAGGGTGCTGAGCAAGATGCAGCCCTTGTGCGTGTTTCAGGCAGGATCTGGACACTTAGTTCAGTGCCAATTGCCCTCCTCATGCCCTGTGTTATTTTATACTTGGAAATCAATTGCACAGCGGTTCGGGATCTTTAGATGTGAGTGGTGGCAACTCAGGTTGCTCTCAAACCAAAGCTTCTGCGTCTGCAAAACAGAGCTTGGCAGAACAAACTTCATCCACTCAGCAGAGTGTTGGGGAGCGACTCAGGAGAAAAGCCTGAAATGAGAACTGGGAAAAGATGTTTTCTGGGGAGGAAAGCAGTTCAGAGGACCATTGAAGAGTGTTGTCCCACTGAGAGGTGGTTGTGATAGCCCAATTAGCAGATCAAACCTCCTGTTTCATCTCTGAGCTGACCAAGTGCCTTTTATTAAGTGCATTATCTGCCTTTTAGATGGGAACAGAGAGGAGATGTAGACCAAGGGCCTTGGTGTATGAGGGAGGGTCCAAAACAGTAGCTGTCCTTGAAGGCTGGTTTAGTCATCTGAGCTTGAACTCCCACTGCCTGGTCACTGAGCAGGTCTGGGACAGGCCTTGCCCATCCAGTTAATAGGACTCCCCTGTCCTCTGGGCCCACATTTGCCTGGTTTAATGTCTACGTTGGGTCATTCACAGCAGTGGTCATCTCTGGGTGGCTACTGCTGATCCAAAAGGCCCTGGAGGGGCCGCAGCTTTCCATATCAAGGTATTGATGGAGCTGTGGCACCCATTGTGTCCTCTCCTGGCCAAACCCATCATCTCTTGGAGGTGAACGTGTCTCCATTCGCTCCATAGCTTCTCTGTCTGCCTTCTGACTCTGGCTCCCTGCTATCTTTGATCTTTGCCATGGTTTCACCACACACCTTCTTTCTTCTTTCCCTTGTGCTCTTGCAAAGTGCAAGGCAAAGGTTTCTTTTGCTAGATGATGTCTCAATGTAAGAGTTGGCTGCATGCAGAGGCTTGGGAAAACAGAAGCATGAATCTGTCAAGCCTTTTCTTGGGCAGCAATGTATATTATGCACTCAGGAGGATACTTCTAGCTGGCCACAAAGGATCCAGGATGTATTATTATCATGTAATTCTTCCCTGGGGACCCATGGAAAGCCCTGAGGCTGGCACTGGAGGGTGAGTAGCTAGTACAGGAAGAGGTCAGATACCCCAGCGTGCCTTCTTTTTTGCTTGTTCCATAGACACGTCAGCCAAGGACAGATGACAGGGCAGCTCTCACCCCTTGGTCGAATGTTCTGAAGAAGGAAAGGTTATTTGGTCCATGCTAACGTACCAGCTGAGCTGTGTTGGGTGGCAGGATGAGGGACTGTCAGGCCCTCATGGGGCTGGTGTCCTTCCTGAGTGGATCTGGCCAGGAGGAGGGGAACCTGACCTTGACCACTGCCTGTGGTCATCCAGCTTTGCCTGCATGACTTGATGTTCTCACAGGCAAAATGTGGCCTTTCTGCCCATGATAGATGGGCAGAATATGCTGGATCACACCTTTATGCTGTCAATGCCTACAGCAGAGGCCATCCATTTTTTTCTGTAGTACTAAACACAGCATAGCCCATCATCGATGCAACCCTTTACTGTGTTCAGTGTGGTACATCACACGTGCTTCATGGAGCGTCTGTGTAACCAACCATTTCGCAGTCAGTGGGTATTTCTCATGACACGCTTATGTGCATGTGCACCCAAAGGCACTGATGGCTTTCCTGCTTTTCTGCTCAGGTCATCCTAGGATGGCTCATCCTCCTCCTAGGCCCATAACGATACCCCATGTGGCTGGGATCTGAGGAAAGAGAAGGAAAGCGGAGTCCAGCTGGAGGCCTGTACTTAGTGGTGTCCCCCAGGGGTCAGTTCTCGGTCCAGTCCTGTTCAACTTATTCATTAACGACCTGGATGAAGGGCTGGAGTGCTCCCTCAGCAAGTTTGCCGACGATACCAAACTGGGTGGAGTAGCTGATAGCCCTGAGGACTGTGCTGCCATCCAGAGGGACCTGGACAGACTGGAGGACTGGGCGGCGAGAAACCTCATGAGGTTCAACAGGGGCAAGTGCAGGGTCCTGCACTTGGGGAGGAATAACCCTGGACACCAGTACAGATTAGGGGTGGACCTGCTGGAGAGCAGCCCCGCAGAGAGGGACCTGGGTGTCATGGTGGACGACAAGTTGACCATGAGACAGCAGTGTGCCCTGGTGGCCAAGAAGGCCAACGGGATCCTGGGGTGCATTAAGAAAAGCGTCTCCAGCAGGTCGAGGGAAGTGATCATCCCCCTCTACTCAGCCCTGGTGAGGCCACATCTGGAGTACTGCGTCCAGTTCTGGGCTCCCCAGTACAAGAGGGATGTGGAGCTGCTGGAGAGAGTCCAGCGCAGGGCTACCAGGATGATCAGAGGCCTGGAACATCTGCCCTATGAGCAAAGGCTGAGGGAGCTGGGCCTGTTCAGCCTGGAGAAGAGGAGGCTGAGGGGGGACCTGATCAGCGTGTATAAATACGTCAAGGGAGGCAGTGAGGAGGAGGGGGGCGGCCTCTTTTCAGTGGTGGGCAGGGATAGGACTAGAGGAAATGGCTTCAAACTGAAGCATCGGAAGTTCCACAGGAACTTAAGGAAGCATTTCTTCACTGTGAGGGTGACAAAGCACTGGAACAGGCTGCCCAGAGAGGTTGTGGAGTCTCCTTCTTTGGAGATCTTTAAAACCCGCTTGGATGCAGCCCTGTGCCACGTGCTCTAGGTGACCCTGCATGAGCAGGGGGGTTGGACTCGATGACCTCTGAGGTCCCTTCCAACCTTGGGCATTCTATGATTCTATGAAAGAGGCCAGTAACCAGAACAGGAGTTTTGTGGATGATATAGATAAAGAGGAAACTTTCCCCCTTAACCTTGAGGATACCAGAGACGTATTAACTAAGCCTAAGCCTCCTCTGCTAAGAAGGCCTTTTCTTCAACAAGGAAGCCTCAAAACTGCAGCTTAAGAGACCCAAGGTCCTGCGGTGCTGCTGTGGTGCCTGCTCTTCCCCAGAGTGATCTGGCTTCTTGTAGATCTATGGATTTGCTTGAAAATTAGTAAAATCAAGGAGGTCCCAGATCCCATGGCTAGGGTGAATCTTTTACCCTTTTGTGCTTGCAGGAAATAGTATTTTTCTTTTTTTTTTCTGTGACTTTCTTTCTGAAGTTTCCAGAAATGTTTCTATCTCCCTCTCACATTTACTCTAGACCAGACACTGGGGCTGAGAGGCCCAGGGGGTTCTGTAGCTCAAGCAGGTGTTTAATTAATGATATAACTAATTGAATGTAGAGGAAAGAGAGAGGCCACAGCCACATTTTCAGCTCCTACCCTGCTGTGTCAACTTGTGACACCTCAGCCGGGCTCAGCTCCAGGCCTACTCTGTGGCGTCTTCAAAATCAGGAAAGCATCTTGAGCTCCTCAGTGAGTGAGCAATGGAGATCCCTAATAGTGATTTATGACAGACATCTCAGGCTTTTTTGGCAGTCTAAACTTCTCTCTTGAAGCCAGGCTGTCCCAGCTACGAGCACATGATGCTGCTCTTTTCTGATGCAGCCATGACCCACCTTGGTCATCTGCAGCCCAACAGCTACCTCTCCTCTGGGGTCCAGCTTAGTTGTGGCATCCTGCGGTTAGAGGAAACTCTTAAACCTCATATTGGGTCTTGCTTTGGAAGCAGACCTGAAGTGATGCTTGGTGATTTGTTAATTTGCCCTACTCAGCAGCAACTCAAGGCTATGTCTTCCAAAGAGAAAAAGCCAGTGGCACTGTGGAAACTGTCATATAAATGGTTTTACATACATTGGCTAACTTGGATTTCTATTTTGTATGATCCTGCATTATATTTACTGGGATATATGCCAGGAAGTGAGTGGCAGGTGGTTGCAAGTGGCTGAATGACAGTTGAATGAGCTGAAGGACAAATATTAATGACAGTTGTCTGCATCACCGAGATGCAAAAATCCCACTGAATCAGGGCAAGTTTGACAAGTGCTGCAGAATTAAATGGTGTTGCACCAGCCCTGAAATAGCCCTTCTTGCAATGTCAGAGTCAAGGTGCCTATTACTAAGAACCAAGAACATGTTTCTCATGTTTCATTCTCTGGCCTTCCTTAGCCCACACACTCCAGATCTATAATTAATGGTTGGTTGAAGGGCTAGATTCTCCAAGGTAGTTAGGTATGTAGAAGTTGTATACTTCTGAGATATTCCAAACTGTGGGAGGCTAATTCTCTGTTCTGAAAGTTGTGGTAGATGCTTGATGCCTGTTTAGATGTCTCAGTGTTTTCCTGAATCTAGCCTAAAATGAGAAATTGCTGCAGTTCCTACGGACAGAGCTCTGGTTGTTGTTCCTTTGCATTGCAGTGCTCAGTAAATTTAAATAAAGTGCACTTTATATAAATGTAAAGGACCTTGTGAATATTAGCTGGAAAAAGAGGGAAAGACATTCCTACTTAGTAAAAGTAATGCCATCAGTCACTGCCCTTATCTATATATGTTGTATTCTTCGTGACACCGATCTTCAAAATTTCCTGGGTGGAGTGAAGGGGCTTGTTTTCCCCGAGAAGGAAGAGAGGCATCTGTATATATTCCTGTGTGACTGCCAAAGGATATCCGTGATAGAATAAAGCTGATATCTCTTGAATTTCCTGACAGCTCTTTAATTGTAAATTACCGAGCTTTTCTTTGTCTGCTTTTTTGTTGTTATGTTTTTATTTTTGTTCCATCCTATATTTGCTTGGAAGAAGATATTTTATGTTTGTAGATCAGCTGGGAATTCTAGCATGGAAATCTCTTGGTTATCTCCATCTAAGAATAATTAATGGGCCTGTTTCTATACTGAACATAAAATGTTATGTAGCAGATTGCTATCTCTGTCTTCTGCTGTCTTCTCCAGAGCTGTTGTTACTGCAGTGGTCTCTCTATGTGTTTGCCTGTAATGTCCTATGAAGGAACAACCCTGTGTACATTATTTCTTGTGTTGATTCCTGTAACCCTGTCAATGTTTCCTCCATAGGCCTGAAAGATGACAAGGATCTTAAGTTCCTTCTGAAAGGCAGCCAGCTGATCAAAGTGAAATCGGGTTCTTGGCAAAAGCAGCGGTTTTACAAGCTACAAGAGGATTGCAAAACCATATGGCAGGAATCAAAGAAGATGCTGAGGACCCCAGAATCACAGACCTGTAAGTATCATTTTCTTCACCATATGCACCAGGCACTGTCTATGCAGGAGGTTGCTTCGACCAGAGCGTTTATCCCTGCAGTGGGAAGACAGAGCTTGGAGCAATGGGGCCAGATCCTTCACACCTTGGCAGCACACAAACTGACAGATGGTGTCAGCTCTGAGACAGCTGGGGGGAATCTGCTGAGTGAGGATTGGCCACATTTCCCAAGCTGATGAGCTACTACTCAAAGATGTCATGAAGCAGAAGAGTAGGAACCACAGGGGCTGCATGGTGTGACATGGCATGATGTAGTGTGGAGGGAAGGCCACACCAACGGCAAGTGGGACAAACTTTTGCACAAACAACAGCATGCTGAGCTCAGCAGTGATTCCTAGGAGTTCAGGTTCCCAACTTCTTCCCAGGAGTTCAGGTTACTCAGGTGTCACTGTGGTGGTCATGTCCCTCAGGTGGTCGTGTCCCTGTGGTGGTCAGAATGTGGCTCACAGCCAGCATTCTGGATGTGAGACTTGTTTTGCATGTCTGCAGCATCATGCAGTGAATTTTGGCTGTTGGTCTGGGCTCTGCCAGGACACTGCTTGTCTGTCTTGCAGCTCTTAGGAAAGCAGGACAAGGTATAGTCTGGTATTGAACCTCAAAAGGGAAAAAAACCACACTGATGTGGAGATCCAGAGGCTTACAGGAGATGTCTTTGGAAAGAAAAGTCTGTTCTCATCTCCTTACCCTGGGAACTCAAAACTTAAGCCACTGTTGTCTGTGACAAAAAGTCTAGATACAACAGTCACCATTGCATGAACATGAGGAAAAAGCATTTAGCATCAGCATCACCTCATTTAGGATCTTATTACCCAGGAAATTCTGTTGAGTTGAAATAGAAGAGTGTCCAGCATCAGAGGCAAAGGAAAACACTCATTAAAATAGTGGTATCAGGTAAGCTCTGTATCTGTTTACATCTGTTCTCGTCCTTTAACATTTTTCTGCTCTATTTCTCTGTCATGATCATCACAGTCTTTTAAAATGATGAGGTAAATGAATAATCCTCAATATAGTCTATTGCATGCTGAAATGTGAGAGCACTGTGTCCTAGTTATTTACACTTTTTGTTTTGCTACAACTAAATATGCCTTAGTAAGGCATGGGTCTTCCAGATTACCTCCACTCCCACAATGAGTGTCACTGAGGTGTATGAGATCTTGAGCAGGAAGAATAAGGTATCAGGTTTACGACCTTTGCATTGCCACCCTTTTCTCTTGTGGCTTTGGGCAGCTCATTTAATCTCTTTGTACATCTTTCCCCCAAATTAACAATATGCCTTCCTTCTCCACAACCTAGCTGTATTGTGAAAGGCCTGAGGCAAGAGACTCTTCCTTTTTGTGTGTTTGCATGTCCATGAGCTCTGCTGAGCCATTTAAATACTGATGTGATAATTCATAATAGCACTGATGTGATAGTTCATAATAGCAACAACGAATGTGAAGGCTTTAGTGAACGTGAGCGCCTGCTCTGTTGACCTCTGGCCTGTTTGTAACTCAAGTCCTTGCCCAGATAATGTCTTGTTACAAAACAAACAAGGGTGTGAGTCAAGAAGGAAGGACTTTCAGAGCTTTAATTCCTGTGCCAGCAATTTCCAAATTATGGGGGCTGAGTGCTCTTCTAGCAACAACCTTGCCCCCACCTCCAGTCCTCTGAAATAATTGCACAGCTAGCAAGCCCTTGTGACGTGACTACGGGGACCTTGAGACTAAGTTGGAGAAGTGCTCTTTGAACCCATTGCTTCCCTCTCCAGGGCAAAGGCACAAAAAATTGCACTAACTATAATTTATTATATATTGAGTTACAGTGAGAGGCCTGCAGCAAGATCAGATCCTTTGAGCTGAGTGTTGCGCATGGGCTGTGTATGTGAGTACGTGGGAAGTTACTGCATGGTCAGCAAGGGTGTGGATTTAACTCACTCAAGATACCCCAGATGATTTGTTAGCTGGTGGCAACTAAGGTAGGCGGCTGCATTTCTGGAGATGGTGTCAATGACACTGCAGGAAGGAGCACTCCATGTGCCCTGGGAGTGTCCTAAGTACAAGAACAAAGGTGGACTAATATTGCCTACCAACTCGCCCCCACACATATTGCTCCATAATGCCTGCACGGGAATAGGTCCCTCCCAAGAGAAAGTCCATTTTATCACTGGGATAGGAAAACAAACCAGGCAGTCAAGGATGAGGTGGTCTCTGCCGTTTTGAAGAAACCACCTCTGTCAAGGCCACAGCTCTATTGATTTTCTTGGACTTGCTGATTTTCTGTGCTTGACTATCACTCAGCCACCTCAGGGATGCTTTTTACAGACATTGTGGACATGCCTCAGCCTAGAAGTCAGTGATGGAAATGAGCACAGGATCAACACCTGTTAAGTCCCCAACTGTCCATTTCCCCACAGCGGTCTGCTCTGTTTGTCCTCTGAGTCCTTCCACCTCCAAGTTTTCAGAACAACCACTGGTTTTGAGTTTGATTCTCAGGCTTTCAAGTTCACTAGGTATTAACTGCTCGGGGTTTTGATATGGAGAGGAGTTCCCCAGCTGACACTGTGTCCTATGATAGGCTGTATCACCGTGACTGCTTTTGTATTTGGCCATATGTGTGTAGTTGAAAAGCAAAGGAAGAGTGTGGGATCGTGATTTGATACGCAGGATCAAGGACTCCAGAGTGAGTCTCTCTAGAGGGTTACACTTCCTTGCTAACAGACCATAACTTTGTCTTCCAGTGCAAAGCCTTTCTAAATCTGCAGATAAACTGCCTTTCACAGGGAGGAAAAAGAATGAGTAAAATGGAAACTGGGAGGTCTGGGCAGCAGGTCTAATCTTATCTTCAGCAGAGCTGAGGGCAGCCAGATGGAGGCAGCTCAGAGGAGTGGACTCTGGATAGGGCAAGGGTTATATTTTTGTTTGGACAGTTTCCTGTTACTCCAGTTACTGCTTACAATCATTTAGAGAGGCTGTTTGTAAACCACTGTGTGGTTGTGTCCATAGAAGATAAAACTGAAGATTTCCAGGGCGAGGCAGAAGAATCTCAGCATCTTGAACTAAAAAAGAGCAAACATATCAGGGTTATCCCGGGCACAGATAGTTGCTTAGGTCAGACACAAAGGGACACAGTCCTTATCTTGCTGTGCTTTTATTTTAAACAACTGGAGCTTATATTGGCTGTTGTCTGAATAGCTATATCCCCCATAGGGCTTTTCAGGAGCTAAGCTGCCATTACAAGGGAGTTCCTACACAGTTAGAGCATAATAAATTTTTATCCCTCTTATCCATAATCCATTATTTTTCACTATGTTCCTTTTAGGCCCAAAGGACCCGATTTCTCCAAAGCACTGGTAAGACACTCTTGCTTTTCCCCATGGCAATGGCTGCCTGCAGGCAATGTCATCTGTCCCTACATTGCTTTGCAGCAGCCCCTGCTACAAACCTCCTCATCAAGCAACACAGAAGTAATGTTGGGCCTGTTGTATGCTGAAAGGTCCAAATACAGGTCCAGCATGTACACCTTCAAGCAGCTTCCAGCACTCCCAAAGCATTGGGATCTTCCTTGTTGGCAGTGTGGCTGTGTCTCCTCCTGCTCTGTAGTAACCGCAGAGATCCTGGTCCACAAGGACCTGATGCTCTCTGTTTTCTTAAACATAGTGTGGAGCTAAAGTTGGTCAGATGCTTCTCTGGGCTATTAGACTTTTATTCATCAGACCCTAGGAAATCGAAAGAACCCTTGGGAAATCCCTTTCTCCCTGGGAAATGGAAAGAAAGTCTTGCACGCTATGTTTTTCCCTAAAGAGAAAAGAAAAAAAGGAAAAAGAAATTTTTTTAAAAAAAGAGATTGGCTTGGGCCTGACAGAACAGTCTGTAAGGGACAAGTTAACAGTTTTCAGAAAAAAAGGGGAAAAGTCTGTGCAAGGGTCTGGGAATCAGCCATTAGGTGACAATTCACTGCTGAACATCTCCCTGCACCAGTCACAGAGGGAGAAGACCCAGCATGGTGCAAGGGCTCATGTAAAAGGAACAGCAACCTGTCACCATCCCTAACACCGTCTTCTTCAGCTGTGGTCAAATAGCAGGTCTCATCCACATGGAGAAATAAAAAATAAAAAATAAAAGAAAAAAGAAAAAAAAAAAGAGAAAGAGCAAAAAGCCACATGCTGCTTTCAGCTGATATCAATTTTTGAAAGTCTTCTCTTAAAGAAGTTGAAATCCCTAGTGTGAGCTCACTTAAGCCAGCATTAATCCCTTTAAAAATCATCTGAATTTAAGACTTTGGAGAGAGGGTTGAAAACTCTACAGTGGAAGGGCATTTTGAGCTTTTGGTGGAAAAGACAAGTGCTCAAAACTGGAAGAGAAAACCTAATGATTGATTTAGATTTAGGGCTACTACCATGGAGCCTCGAAGGAGCTGGAGATTTGCTACCTCCTGCAAAGAGAGTGCTCAGGCTTAGTCATGAAACAAATTTAGGAGATTTGGCTGAAATATTTCAATTTCTAGCCAAAAACTTTGCAAGAAAACTCCTTTTTTTCCCTTTGTTTTGTTTTGTTATTTTTAAAGAGTGAGATTTTGACACAACTGAATAAGGTGGGCTAAGTTACTGGATTACTGAACAGTGACACACCTCTTTAAATCAAAATATTGTAATTATTTTAAGACATGAAATTGATACTTGGATCTAATGATTAATTACCAATTAGTATTATTGCTTTTGATTTCCAGCTGTATAATATGATATTTCTGTATGGTTTAAACACAATACAAAAACTTTATGGCCTGCTGCCAGTGCTCAGCAGGAAATTTTTCCCCTTATTCTTGAGTTCTTTTGAAATTTAGGAATGCCCTTAAATTGCTTAAATTACCCTGTGATGAACATACCATGCCATTTTTGTGGAGGGATGAAAGATTGCCTCCATAAAAAAAATGTACTGAGCTTTCTTTCAGAAGAACAGAAAAGATGTAGCATCTTCCCATGGCTG